TCTAAATCCAATTTGTTTGACGGCAAATAATATTCTCAGCTGATGGGAAACATTTCTGTCAGTTAATCTTATATTTAAAGTGCATATTGCCATTTGGTACCAACCAATAAATAAAAAATCTACAATAGTAGTTGCATCCATAATGGTAGGAATGGAATATATATGATGTGCTGAAAGCATTCATGTAACCTGAAGCCAGTCATTATTTGTGTGACTTTTAAATTACTGCTAATAAAAATTGCAAAAGCACCTTATGGATTGTATTGATGGCCACATTACAAAAATACAATAAAAATAAATACCCAGAATGTCCAAAATCCAACTAACATTTGAGGAAATCAGGCCACAGACCATATTAATGATAATGTTACTGCCTTTTGAGAGATTTGCACGATACAGTATATAACTCATTTATCTTAATTAATCCGACAACCTTTGATTACTTCAATTTGTCATTTTTGCTCAGCATTTATTAGGTTGAACCCACTGTGGACAGTCCTTCTCAGAGGGAGGAGATATATTTACATATATTTCCACAAACTCCCACGCAGCACATTATATTCACATTTAGCCCAGTAGTGAGATATATATATATATATATAACCACCACGCATCTCCATATTGGTTCTGAGACTTGAGAGCATCCCGATTTTCTCTCTGGTGTATTTTTATTTAATTTTTCTATTGTACAAGGTTTTCTTTTTTTTTTCTTTTTTTGAATCTCACTCAGTAAAAAAGTAAAAAGCTTTCTTTTTAGGTAGCAGAATGCAGCCACCCTGTTTTTTTTAAAAAATCCCAGTGCCCTTTAGGGCTGCCGTTTACTTTCAGATTTACTCCTCACCAACGCACATCCACTTATTTCATGAATTCTTTGTGGAACAGCTGATTGCACGTGATTTCAGGAATAGTTAGAGATTTATGACCGCGGCGATTTCATCTAAAAATCAAAACTGACAGACATATTTGCTTTGCATGCTGATTAGACGACACAGCAGCGTGTGTGTGTGTGTGTTGAAGGAATAAGACAGGATGGCGGTATGAGAATAAAACCCACATTCATGTTTTCAAATTAGTTTTATGCTTAGATAAATTGTCCCTAATTCATTTACCCGCTATTGCCCAATCCCAATAATTAAACGTCTGGAGCCATAAAATCACACTGCATCATGAAGTGCAGAAGTAACCATTTATAAGATGTGGTTCTGAGTTGTTGGGTGGGTGTGTGTGGGTGTGTGTGTGTGTGTGTGTGTGTGCGCGTGGGCCGGGGGGCGCAGACTCCCACACCCATCCTCCCTTCACCCCACCTTTTCATTTTCAATTATGGGTTGGAATATGAATCTTTAATAGGGTGATAATTGTGCTAGCATATTTGCTGTCACCCACCATTAGCCCAGATTAATTAGCCCATTTAGTTTAGCTTAAGAAAGTGTCTGGCTGAGGAATGGGGGCACTGATGGAAGGCGGATAGAGAGAGAGTAGAATCAGCACAATCTGTTCTATATCATATAGTGCCATCTTCTTTTTTTTTTTCCTTCCTGCTTTCTCTCTCTGTCTCTTTGTGTTGTTCGCCTCTCCGCCTTTTCCCCTCTTTGCTGCTTTAACACTCTTTTTCTCATCTAACTTCGTCTGTTAGTCTGTTTCATCAGTCTGCACTCATCTGCTGAGCCTGTTCTCAGCAATATTTTTTTTTGTCGCTCTGTGGCTTTTCGAGTGGTCGGTGGGGAGACTAATGGGGGACTCGTGTTTTGCAGCTGAAACTTTCTTGGAACTATTAATTCTGTAATTACCAGCGTAACATAAGCCGGCGGTGTAACTTTTGAACTCAGCTAGTTATTCTAAAATATTTTTTTTTAAACATTAAGCAGGATTAAATTATTATAAAAAGTCAATCTTAATAGTTCATACAAATCTGCAGTTTAATTAGCAATCATATATTTTAAGAATCTTCAACAATGTTATTGGTTAAACAAACTTTTTTTTTAAATGATTTCGCTGCTGAAATGTCAACAAATGCTAACAAGTAGTTTCTGAGATATAGACATCGTTATGTTCAGTATAGGGCTGCAAGGTGGAACAGTGGTTGGCACCATTGCCTTGCAAGCAAGAAGGTCGCCGGCATGTTCTCTTCGTGCAGCGTGGGTTCTCTCCGGGTTCTCCGCCTTTCTCCCGCACACTCCAAAAACATCCATTCATCCATTATCTACACACCGCTTAATCCTCACTAGGGTCGCGGGGGGGCTGGAGTCTATCCCAGCTGACTTAGGGCGAAGGCAGGAGACACCCTGGACAGGTCACCAGTCTATCACAGGGCTACACTTAGAGACAGACAACCAAGCACACTCACATTCACACCTACGGACAATTTAGAATCACCAATTAACCTCAACATGTTTTTGGACTGTGTGGGAGGAAGCCGGAGAACCCGGAGAGAACCCACACTGCACGGGGAGAACATGGAGACTCCACGCAGAAAGATTCCAGTGCCCCCACTCGGACGCGAACCAGCGACCTTCCTGCTGCGAGGAAACAGTGCTAACCACTGAGCCACCCTGCAGCCAGTCCAAAAACATGTTGAGGTTAATTGGTGATTCTAAATAGTCTGTAGGTGTGAATGTGAGTGTGCTTGGTTGTCTGTCTCTAAGTGTAGCCCTGTGATAGACTGGTTACCTGTCCAGGGTGTCCCCTGCCTTCACCCTGAGTCAGCTGGGATAGACACCAGCCCCCCATGACCCTAGTGAGGATTCAGCGATGTATAGATAATGGATGGATGTTCAGTATGATGCATTTGATTTAGTTTTGTAGATTCCACACAAAAACTGTACAGTGGTTAAAGCAGCATTAATTGATGTTTTTATATGAACTATAAGCTGTGAAATGACTACATTTAAAGGAAATGGGGCGCCTACAGAGGAATACAAATTCCCTTCAGCTCTCTCAACAGTTTAGCATCTTCCTACTTCTTTTGTTTTACAGCCAGAGACGCTCTCACACAACCTTGTTTACAGCTGCAACAGCCAACTATTTCCGCTCAACAAACTCTGATAAATCCATGTGATGCTACCTGCACAGGGCTAAAACATCACACAAAGTGCACGCGAAGCAGGATGTGGGTTCCGTAACTTCAGGTTTAGTCCTGGGTTTACGATGGTGTTTCAGCACCGTGGTAGCTTAAGCTGCACACCTCACCTTCTCCAGAGCGGGTCATGGTCAAGATAGCGTGTCAATGTGCATAAAAGTACCATCTACTAATCAGTCAGCTGTCCTGGGAAATGGATCATCATTCCTGGAAGATCCCGTAGAGCTCAGTGCACAGATAGTGAGATGGTCTTTGAGCATCTGGGAGCACACATATGAGACATACTGAGCATCAATGGAGGGAACCCGGCCTTCCTCTGCTAGAAATTTCATTTTATTGTTTAGCCCTTTGTAATCCTAACAAAAACACTGATTAAAAGCACTAAAGCCCTGTACTTGCTGCCCTTATAAGATTTGTAGTATGCTTACTTACTGCTATGAATTATGTTTAGGTTTGTTCTTTACTTGCTTCCAAGATTGTTTAACACCAGCAGGGTTGCAGCTGAATCAATGGGGAAACTGTCTTACTTGACATAAGAAAACTTTACATCTAAGCGACAATAGGAAACACAAATGCTGCCCAGTTATTGTCAGATCTGGGCAGTGATGCTGATAAGCCTCCTAACTTACACATTCACACAGTCTCTTGTTTTTTTACTCACTGTCCTTCCTGGTTTTCTGGGTTTTAGAATCTATTATTGTTTTTAAATTGAGGATTACAGTTTGTTCTTCTTCGATTAGTCATCACCTTTTTTATGTGAGTTCATAGCTGGGTTCTGAAACCATGAGTTAACCTGATAAGTTGAGCTTCTCGTCACTGCTGAAGACCGACAAACAGATATCCTGAATTTGTTGAACTTTCTCAGGCCTCTGGTGAGCACACAGTAAGGAAAGATTTAGGTGGTGGAGGCCAAAGCAGAGCTAAAAGGAAAGTAAATGTTGACGTTTGTCAGGTGGCAGAAAACTGAGCTCTGACTGGATTATCTATGCAAACACAAAAACAAAAAGCCTATAGAGAAAGCTAATAGTTAAATCAATATCTCTCTCACTTTATTGTATATAATGCTTTGTGTATATAGTACTTTGTTTAAATTATTTTTATTTCTTGCTGCTATTGTCGTGTTCTTCCACACAAGTTTCGTTGTACTTCTGCACAATGACAATAAAGTCTCTTTATCTCTTTATCTTTATCTTATCTTAATATCGATTTTATATTTACATGAGACGTTGGATGGCATAGTTGTCGAGTCATTGCTGGCTTATATTGTGTCAAACACTAAAGGAATGAAAGAAGGATGTCTCTCGATGTTTGGCTTCCTAACTGCTCACTTATTTGTGGTTTTGAAGTCAACCGCCGTCAAAACACAGCAAGCGGATAGTTGCAGAAAACTGTTTTTTTAAAAAACGACTGACGTGGCCTAAGAGTTGGGTGTTCGTTGTCAGCGTGAGCGAACGTTTCCGATTGCAAGGAAATCATTTGATTCAGTGTTGGTGTGAAAAGTATTGCTTAATGGAGCTTTAATCGCACTCTCCACCTTGGGATAAGTCCTGTGTGTGTGTGTGTGTGTGTGTGTGTGTGACAGTGGAGTGACTTGGCCATGTCACTCGCTGTATATCTCTCAGCAGGCAGTGGGAAATGAGGTCTAATCGGAGGGATATTAAAGTCACAATAGACTGCTCCTGCTATTAAGGCCTGTCAGCCCTGGCCTCCTCTCTCACCTTGATATCTCTCAGTCTCTGAATATTTATATGCCTACCTCAGGGGCTACTTACACACTGCAATGTTTCTTTGTGTGTGTGTGTGTGTGCATCAAGCAAGAAATGTACCATCGCTGTGGCTACTCAAGCACTTTGAATGTGTTTATGAGCATGTGTATCACTGTCTGTGCTTACGAGGTCCACCTTTCTGTCCTCCCAACCTGCAGGTGCAGTGGGCGCGAGGTTGCTCTCAGGTCAGAACAAACCCGTCGCCATGGATGTGGATGAGGAAGAGAACATGAGTGAGTCCACTCTGATTTTTCCTCATTTGTCCGCCTGTCTGTCCGTCTTCCTGTCTGCGAAGACCTGGTCTCTACATTTAAATGTCTGCCTGTACTTACTGTATGTTTCCCTCCTTTCTGTCTGCGCGCATGTCTTCCTCTGTTTGTCCTTCTGTCTTTTCTCTGCTGTGTAATCAGTGTGAACACACTTTGCTCGCTTATATTATGCAAGTATTCGCATACTGCTTAGCCCACGTTTAATAAAAATAAGGCCAAAAAGATTCAAATCTAACACAACTATATCTGGAAAAACAAGGTAGCGTTTACTTATTGTGTCTTAAATTACATTCACATTTAAAGGCTCCATCTGTCAAAGCCTACGAGAAGGATGGCGCTATGATTTGTCCTCACCCGAACCAAGACACACAACATTGCGTGCACACAAAAATGCACGGTGCTGATGTTGCCGAAACTTTCTAGAGAAGAAATAATCATTCCATCTGGGATGCTTCAGGTCATATTTCAGATTGCCTCCACCTCGATTTCTCTCTTCAAAAAAAAAAAAAAAAAATCCTCTCCGCTCCAGCTTATTGAAATTTAATTAGACATTTTGGTTTGAACTCAGTAACTGGAGCTGAGGAGGCACGGAAAGACATGACAGAATGTGCTTCCTCACACCTCCGACAATTTTGAACCCACATTCAAAGGTGGCTGTCATTCTGGCGGTGCCCTAACCTGCGATACAAACGAGCACTTCTTATTATAGTGCCATACTTGGTGTCTTTGCTCTGTAGAAAAGTATGTTTCATGTGTTAAATCAAATAAGCCATTGCAAAATAGGCTTTGTTGTCTTCCAAAAGCTTCTGAAGCCTCTTTCTCACATTTTTACTGGCAGTCAAAAGATATATTTGAAGATAAAACGCAGTCCAAGCTCACACAAGCCCGTTCCTTTAATACTAAGGGAACACCAGAGGAAAACATGAAAGAACTTTTAACTTTTATGTGACAACCTTAGCAGCACTTGAAATTCTTTAATCGCAGATATCATCCCAAATCAAAACCCCAGCAAACAAGTCCCACTTAAAATGAAGTTGTGATAAAAGACTTTTTTTTTTCCTGCAGTATTTGGTTCATGCAGCCCCCATAGGGGGATTTTAGCTGAGAAAGATCCAAGCGTCGGGATTCTTTTTTTTTTCTCTCTCTTTGTGTAAATAATGGATGCTGATTACACAAAATTGGGCATGATGATGACCACAACTGCATGTGTGCCATTTTTCAGTGCATGGCTGTTGCTCTTTGGCTTTTGTTCCTCTGATCTGGTCCTGGGCTCTTGACTTCTACTGGATATCCATCCTGCAAATTCATCGTGCTGTAAAATATATAGTATTAATTTCAACCCTTTAGAGAAAATGTACACTCTTATGTGTTGAATAATTCATTTTGGAACGGAGAAAGGGAGCTCCAGATTTTTTCTGTGTGCCATTTTATTCACTGTATTTGTGCAGCATGCTAGAGTTTTCAATATGTGTTTTGTTTTTGTTTTTTTTAAAAATTGGCCTCTTGCTTACTATACCCCACAAATCAACCTATTTTCGGAGACATGCTGATCGCAAGCAAAACATGTGTATTTAATTATGTTCTGCAACAATTTCAGGGGACAGCTCAAGCCAAGCCACAGCACTACATACTGTGTATTCTAAAAGTATATATTTATAACGACAGTCAAAGTCCTTATTTAACTCTTACTGATTTCCACCACTACAGCATCAGTGGTGGTTAAAGGTGATTGACTACGACAGTACCCCTGTCAGACCCACAGATTTCACCATTCCAATAGGTGGCAGCTCTTTTTGGCTGCTCTTAAGTTTATTTGCGAAATACAAATATCAATTTGCAGAATGCATGAACACACCAAAAAAAATACATATATATATAAAAAATTGCATGTATTGAGCTCATAAACTGAAGGATGTGCAGTTTGTGTTTGTGATCTTAGAAATAAATGCTTTTTTTTTCTTGCCTTGAGACATGTCAGTTGCAGTGTGCAGACGGTGACGGCATGTCAGTACGTTTTGCAACCTAAAACACTGTGTTCTCTGACAAGCTCCGTGGGGGGATCTCAGAGGCGCAGGGTCTTATGAATGGCACCTCATTAGAAACAGTCTTTTTTTTAATATTCCGATTGTCCTCATTTTAAATACAACAGTTTTTGTTGTGTTGTGTTTTTTTAACTTGATGTAAAAGGAGTAAAACAACATTTTTAGCCTCCCACCGTGTCACCAGTCAAGCCTGTAGGATCCTGCAGTAGGTGGAGTCTTCTCCTTCTGCCTCTTTGATGTACTCTCCTTTTTGCCTGGTCCTCAGCTCCTCCCCCTGCACTACTCCCCTGCACTCCCTCAACCCAACCTACAATCCCACTCATGCACACTGCGGCCTCTCTTTCTCCTGAGTACCGCAAGGAGTAACCTATCAAGCCTTTGCTGAAGGATGTTATAAATGAAAATTTTTGCCAATATTCCATCCACTTTGTTAACTGGATTCAGTGATATGTGTTCCCCAGTACAGTATATTTCAGAACCTGCGGTTTAAAGCTGAACATTCAATATGTTCTCTATAGGCTTTCGAGCCATTAAAAATTAATAGAGTGGAAAAGGAACAGTTCTGTTTGTGTGTGTGTGTGGGTGTGTGGGTGTGTGGGTGCGTGTGTGTGTGCGTGTGTGTGTGTGCGTGTGTGTGTGCGTGTGTCTATGTTGAGTGTTGATTCGTGTGCTCATATCTGTGTGCATTTATGTTTGAGACCCACAACACTGTGCAACCTGTAAAGTGTACACTAGGTGTTTTACTGAAAAAGACACTCTCCCACTTTGCCCTGACTTTCAGAATAACAAGATTTTGTAGCTACACATTTAATTTTGAAGATATATTGAGTTTAATTTCAAAATTAAATACTACTTGACCCCAAAAAATCCTCAACAATGCTTAGAATATTGGCAAATAATCCTTCTGGTGATCTACCGTCTCTTAAATGACGACACTTGTGTTGATGTTCTGCAATTTATAGTGATGTCAACAGACTGTAGGTTAATATGTTCAAAAATAATAAAAAGCCACTGTCTCTTGCTTTGATAAAGGAACACAAATCATTGGTTCAGTTCCAAAGAGTGATAAAGGAATCTATAAATTTTGCATTTACAAGATCCTGCAACGAAGGCGTTGTAAGTTACTCTTTCTGGGCACCGCAGGTTCAAGCAGCACCGACGTTAAGGAAAACCGAAACCTGGACAACGTGTCCTGCAAAGACGGGGTGGGAGTGGCTGAGCAGCTCCCCAATGGAAGCGGCCTGGGCAGTCGAAAGCGTCCCTTAGAAGAGGGAAACAATGGCCACACACATTCCAAGTTCCGAGCCAAGAAACGCAAGAAAACACCGGGGCCGGTCCTGCCCAAGAACGCTCTGATGCAGCTGAATGAAATCAAACCAGGTCTACAGTACAAACTGCTGTCTCAGACAGGACCAGTCCATGCACCGGTTTTTGTCATGACTGTGGAGGTCAATGGACAGATGTTTGAGGGCATGGGCCCAACCAAGAAGAAAGCTAAACTGAATGCAGCTGAGAAAGCACTGCGTTCCTTTGTCCAGTTCCCCAATGCATCTGAGGCACACCTGGCCATGGGCCGAACACTGACAGTGAACACAGACTTTACATCTGACCAAGCTGACTTTCCAGACATGCTCTTCAATGGCTTTGAGACACCAGCCGCACCTGAAGAATCCTTCTATCTCGGCTCCAATGGTAGCAGCTCCCTAAATTCACTAGGGGAGTACCCACTGCCCACACCTCCTGGCAGCAACCTTGTCCAGGCCCCATTGCCCCCTCCATCTGCATTCAGCTCGCCCTCCAGTGGCAAAAACCCAGTCATGATCCTCAATGAGCTCAGGCCAGGCCTCAAATATGACTTTGTCTCAGAGAGCGGTGAGAGTCATGCCAAGAATTTTGTGATGTCAGTAACGGTGGATGCACAGACGTTTGAAGGCTCAGGGCGCAACAAGAAGCTAGCTAAAGCCCGGGCAGCACAAGCCGCCCTGTCTGCTCTGTTCAACATGCAGCTAGACCAGACGCCATCCCGGCAACCCATTCCAAGAGAGGGATTGCAGCTTCACCTACCCCAGGTAAGACATTTCTGTAATTTGTACTCGGCTAGAGAAAATTCTAACGCTTGTGGGGTTGAGGATGCATCAGGATTTTCTGAATGCATTACACGTAATACAATTCTCTTTGCAATGATAAAAAGAAATCTTGTGATAAATAAAAAAACAACAGAGAAATACTGAACTTGTTGAAACAACTTTACTTCTAAAAGCAGAAATCTACATAATCGTACTTTGCATCACAGTCCATAAAAGTTTTAGGTACACCGATGGGTATTTTGAAAGGCAGCTAAGTACTTAAGAAGTAAGAACTTAAGGATACACAAAGCACCAATCTATTTATGATTTGATGAGTGTGTAGATGCAGTTGAATTTGAAAGCTGTCAATTTTTCAAGAAACTGTAAACACTACAATGTTGGAATGGAAGCAACCGAAAGGTATGCAAGTCCCAGATCATCTTCTGAATCTCCTTAGATTGCTTTGGAAAGAGTGCAGTGGCATATTCTGCCTTCATTAAAGCTGCTATTGGATGAACCGAATAGCCCTGAAACAGTATTAGAATTTAGAAAGAGTCAAGAATGGCAGCACTCACAAAGACTGAGATGGGCTTTATGGAGCTACAAGGTTTTTAAAGTTAAAGACACTTTGCGTTGGATTCTAATCATCATTGTCATGCAGATAATCCAGATCCAGATCTTACTTGCTGAATGTGTTGCGTACACTTTTCTTCTCGGTAAGGCTTTTCAGATGAATCGTGGCCCTCTCTGTAATGAATAATGCTTCCAGAAGTAATAACTATCAATGAGCTAAGCTACGACAAAGGAGCATTCCTCTAGACTTGTTTATTGGGTTGCAAAGAAGTTGACTGCAAGCTGTCAAACTCTGCTGTTGTACTAGGTTATCATTAGAATCTCGTTCGCATCAGGTTAGCAGCCACTAAGGGAAGGTGGTGCCTTTAGAGGTGACTGCCAGCGTGTGAAGAGAGATAACGCAGCCGGCAAAGCTAATCAGCTCGACACACTGTCAACAGTCCCTCCCCAAAGCCTTTTCTTCTCTCTTTACTCACTCTCTCCACTTGTCAGCTGATTTATTCAACAAGCACCCCATTTTAATGATAGCACCCCCTCTAATTGCTCTATTAATTCTGTGTCACTTGATATTTAATTTCTGCAGCCGGTTTCCATCTGGCAAGGCAATAATGGGGCAGAATGGGTCCACTGCTGTCACCAAAAAAAAAACTTCAGATTTTTATTTTAGAGCTTCAGTTTTCTTAAAATCTATATTTTTTTCCTTTCAAAAATATGTAGGGAACGAACAAAATGGTATAGCACAGTAATAGTAGTAAAGTAGTTAAATGAAAAGGACGCTTTTGCTCATCACTGAACGGTTTCGACCATATGTAAGAGCAAAAAGTAAGTGATGTGTAGTTTCGCACCCCCAGAGAATAAAAATCACGGATGACCTTGGCGCTCCAAAGTCAAATGATCCGGCCATGAGTGGGTGACTCTGAAGTAGCAGGGAAGTAATATTGGACTAATCTCTTTAATTTGTGATCATCCAGCCGTCATCTCTCCTCCTGGTTGTCGTCATTTTCCATCACATTAGCAATGGATAAGGAGCCAGCTAGGGGAGCCGGCTGTCCAAGAACAAAAGATGTGTGAAGTTCACTTTAGTTCCCCCCTCCAACCTCCTCCTCCTCAGAATCCAAACCGGAGTTCTAAACCTTGTGGACTGTCAACGAGCGCTTTGTTCGCATCTGTTGCTTACTTGTTTGTTTGTTGTTTTTTTTTTTGCTTGTGATTCACTGTCAGAGGGGAGACGGTAAATTATAACTGTCACGCCAAACTCAAACAGCGTTGCTTGAAAGATGGTTAGGTATACCTCAGGGGGTCAACCCAGTTTCACTTGTTGCTGTTTCGACGCTCTGACTCTCGTTTGAAGCTGAATGCGAGGACTGTGACAGGTACATAGTGCTCTTGGGGAGGATAACATCAGACATGCTTTGTAAGCTGACATATCTGACACAAGCTCGTGTTTGTGTGGCTGCGTGTGTGTGTGTCTCCCTGTTGTGTGTGTGTGTGTGTGTGTGTGTGTGTGTGTGATTCCAGGTTCTGGCTGACGCCGTCTCTCGCTTGGTGGTGGATAAGTTTAGTGAGCTGACAGACAACTTCACCTCCCCCCATGCAAGACGAAAAGTCCTAGCAGGGGTCGTCATGACAACAGGTAGAATTGGAGGAAGAGATGGTTGGTGCTTTTATGCTTACGAAATACGACGCTGACTACAGTTGGTTTTTGATCATCCCGCAAAGGAAAATTCAGGCTTAGATAGATAGATAGATAGATAGATAGATAGATAGATAGATAGATAGATAGATAGATAGATAGATAGATAGATAGATAGATAGATAGATAGATAGAACTGCATATCACATAGTATATAAAATAGACAATATTTTTGCATTACCTTGACCAGCCAGACAGTAAAAAATGTGTTTTGCACTTTAATGCATCAGTATAAATAGAATAGAAATGAGTAGAAAATCCTTCATTAGTCCCACAAGGGGAAATGTGCAACATCACAGCAGCAAAGTGACGGTAAGAAAAGCAAGAAAACACAAATATAAATTAAAGAGGCGAGGTACGCTGTGCTATATATGCAATATAAATAAGAAAAATGGAAGAACACGAGGATACTAAGGGCACAAATTTAGGATTTTTTTTGCATGAAAGAACACAAATCTACGAATATATGCATGAAGTAATGAAATAATCTAATTACATATAGGTGCAAGTTACATATAAGAGCAAAATGCTAACAGTTGTCATTATTCTGCGTTTAGTACTTTTGAAACTTTAAATGCATTTTGCCGTTATTACTTTTGTACTTCCTTTTTTTTTTGATGCAGGATATTTACAGTTATTTTTGTACAGTGTGATATTGCTAGTTTTACTTAAAGAAGCTATAATTAATATTTGTATAATACATTAAATGACAATATGAAAACAATGTGATTTTGTATAGGAGGTCATTCATAGTGATAAACCTGCAGTCGGTTATCACACAAATCAGTAGCTCCCCTCGTCTATACGGAGCCTTATTGTGAGTGTCAGCTCATTGTTTCGGTGCCTGGCCTGCACCTTTGCTGTTTTGATTCACTCTCGCTGCATTCATCACGCCACTGTCAGACACAGGAGGGAGCCGTTTATTTAGTGTACAGTACCCGTTCTGCACTAAATGGCAGACAAACACAGTTAGACACTGAAAACTGGCCAAAAAGAGGGCGCCTCGGTGGCACAACTCCAAAAAAATAGTCTTGTTGCTCCGTAGCTCCTGGATCCAAGTAAGTATGAATGATATGAATAATTCCTTCATCACGGCCAACCACCATATAGTCATGTTTAACCACAGCAATTTGTGTTTCTACACATAAATGTATATATTATGTAGACTATAGGAACCTAACACTCCACCAGGAGTCCCCAGAAATGACTTATCTTTCCTCAGTGCTGATCATGTGATTGGTAAATTAACATCTTTCCAACCAGAAGACAATTATCGCAGCCTCTCCGGGCCATAAAAGCATAATTTAGACCGCATGTACAGTATGTGCTTTAAAAGCGTGCGTTCGTTTGTCTTTGTTCCCTTTCGACCTCCAACAGGGACAGATGTGAAGGAAGCACAGGTCATTTGTGTCTCCACGGGAACCAAATGCATCAACGGTGAGTACATGAGCGACCGCGGCCTGGCACTCAATGACTGCCACGCTGAGATAATCGCCCGACGCTCGCTCATCAGATACCTCTACACTCAGCTGGAGTTCTTCCTCAGGTCAGTGGACGGTGTAAGATTAGTTTTCTTCTTTATTGTTTTGTTCATTGTTTTGGGAAGCTGCTTGAATTGATAATTATACGTTGCTGCAGCTGCTTTCTGTTCTAATTGTATTAACTTTATGTCCGTTTAAATAAGCTATAGTTAAAAATAATGTAAATCTAGGTTAATCAACACTTTTGTGTAATTTGCCGTTGGTCTGTTGTCATAGCAGCAGCAAGGAGGACTTCCAGAAGTCAATATTTGTGCAGTGTGACAAGGGAGGCTACAGGTTAAAGGACAACGTTCAGTTCCACTTGTACATCAGCACCTCGCCCTGCGGAGACGCCAGGATTTTCTCCCCACACGAGGCCGGAGTGGAAGGTACGCTTCATACCAGCCTCTCGTCTCTCCCCCCTCAGCTCAGCTGCCATGTTTTTAATTTGGTCTCGTCTTTGCTCAGAATTCAGTTTCCACAACAGTTTATTTTATTTAATTAAATTAGTAGGTTTTCCTCTTATGCTTCGTTTCATTTAATTAGAATTTTACTCCAGTGTCCAAATACGCATTACAGACACATTTAAACAAGGCGCTAGTAATTAGAGCTTTTTGTCATTCTCTGTCTGCCTCTATCAGTCTTTCTCCCACCCAGCCCACCCACACTGTCTGTCTGATTAACCTCTCTCTTACTCTTGTCAGAGTGCTTTCCGTTGCACATGGCAGACTGAATAGAAAACAGCCACATTCAATTAGTCACTGAATAGATGGCGCCTGCTGGTGGAACAACAGAAAACTTTGATAGCATAATAATAAATAATAGGTCATGCTGTGTGGAAGCCATTTTTTTTTTTTCTTCCCTTGCCGTTGGAATCACTGACTGTGCCCAAAATCGCTTCTGTTTTCTTGCATTGTGCAATATATTTACCCTCCACAATTTTATTTGAGTGTCCAAAATTCTCAGTGTGCAAATATGTTCACTCTGTATTCCCCAGAAAAAAGTCCATTAGTTTTATGCTGGCAATCTCAAAGTGCAAAGCGCTGCATTTTATAGATACAAAAATGACTGTTGTGTGACTTAACAGCTTCTCAGACACAGCTTCGGCTCTCTCCTGTTGAAGATAGATTTTTGTAAATGTCTGGCTTCTGATGGGTATAAAACATTGAACAGAACACGTTTGTCTAGGAAGCTCGTCGGCGGTTTGCTCTGAAGGTTTGTGATTTGATGTCTGTCTCTCTCTTTTTTTTTTCTTTGACGATGCAGACCAAGGAGACAGACATCCCAACCGGAAAGCACGGGGCCAGCTGAGGACCAAAATAGAGTCGGGGGAGGGCACCATCCCTGTGAGGTCCAGCAACACCATCCAGACATGGGACGGTGTGCTTCAAGGAGAGCGCCTGCTCACCATGTCCTGCAGTGACAAGATTGCGAGGTAGTTTGGTTCCAGTTCAGTTCAACTACAGTCCTTATAGTATAAGTAATCACCCCAAGCATTGTTTGTGATTTATTAGCGGTTGTTTGTTGCGTTATTGTTTCTTACTTCACCAAAAAAAATCTGATTCAACGGTTAAAAAAACCAAAAGATCCAATCACCAAAACCTGTGAAGTCCACGAGTCAACATGAATCTATTTTCAGTATTTATAGAATAATTGGCATCTCTTCTTCAGAAAAGCAAATAAGCAAATATAATATAGTCATAGTCAGAATATCAAACTACGAGATTTAAATTTGGCTGCCATCTTCGTCAAAGTGTCCTTGTGAAGTGATACAGTGCTTGTATTGGCACTTCTAAACTGTGTCAAAACTGCATCCCTTCAACTTGCAAGACCAAGATGTTTTAAGGAGCTAAATCTAACAAGTAGAGCAGATGAGAAGTCATAACTGTGGCCAAAAAACTCACACAGTGCATTAGAGCAGTTATGTGCCAATGCGCTTTTTGCACGTACTGATTAATCTTCATGTATTTAAAGCAAAATTTACATTTTTCTTCATGTGTGATAACTAATTATGTTCAATTCTCTTATTTTAACTTTCAGGGCACAATGAAAAGATGAATTTGCTTCCTTCAAAACAGGCCAGGTTATGTTCTATCAGGCGACCTTATACAGATTTAAACTACAAAGCTGTCCAATCATTTTCAGTGCAATTTAAGGCGGCACCATCAGACCGCTGGAAAACACAGTTGCTACTCTTGTGCTCATCATATCATTCAATTTTGCCGACTTCCATCCGTTCCGAGTCACCTTAATTGTTAGATTTTATCACTAGTAATTCTTCTAAACAGCTGTATGTAACGTCAAAAATGTCAATAACAGTAAATTAATGTGTATGTCAGCTAGTTTTCTGTCTTTCTTCAGGCAGTATGAGCAGAAAATAAGATTAAATTGATTTTTTTGTAGCTTTAGAATGGTCATCATTTAAATTTCCTTAACACTGAACAAACCCAGAACTTCACACTTCAGCCCTAATTAGCCGTGTGCTTTATTTACCGGCGCCACAATCTACTGTATGGTGTTAAATCCTCACTTCGTCGACCCACTTCGTCATATAAGTCCATGATTTCCTTCGCAGAGTGTCAGGGACAGCTGAACTGATGGATCCTCCGTCCCTGGGAGTGTTTTTTTTTTTTTTGCGGGCAGATCATAGCGTCTTTAGTCTCTGTCCATGTTCAAGGCAACACTGTGCCTCTCTTGTGATGAACGATAAAACTTCTCCATAACTCGCCTCGTGATCCCTCCTCCTCCTCCTCCTCCTCCTCGTCATCTTCCTCCTCTGTTCGGGATCGCGGTACTTTGGCTGAACGCGCAGAGTGATTGAATGCTGAGTGCGTATTTGATGGGGGACATGTCTACTGAGTAGCGAACGCTGTGTTTGCACTGTGTGAGAGGTGTTGCTGCCCTTTCAGCGTGTCAGCACCGGTGCTGGTGATTTAGATTTTGCGTGGTTGTCCAACGTCGGGGAGATCCGAGTCAGTAGAGGGCAAAATAAGGTTGAAGACCGCGCATATATCCATTTTTTTTTTTTCTTTGCTCTTACTAGATAACGAGGAAGAACGTAAAATATTATAAAGTTGACAGTTCAGGGTTGATGTGGAGCAACAGGAAAAATAACTCATTGTTGTGAAGCAATTAAGGTGTTAATGAGGATCTCTCTTCCACTGTGAGGAGCCATTATGCATGACTTCCCGCTCTGCCATGACACAGCTATTAGCCCGGTCACAAATCTGTTACCCACCTGCTTCTGTCCCTTTGTGAGTGATTGTTAGCCACGGGGCCGCTATTTAATACACCTACTGGCTGGCACGCGTTGACCACGGCCTCAGTGTTGCCTCCTTCCACATTGTTTCCTCTCATTTTCCTTTGATTACATGGCCGACCCCACAGCTTCAGCGTGAAAAAAGCACTTCTCCGCTTCGTGTTCCGTCCAACTATTTGAATGAGCTCATTAGCAAACAGGCAAAAGGTCTTATTGGTCCTTTCCTCTGTTTGTCTCGTGTCACCGTTTCTTTCACAGCTCATCACGTGTGCTTTCTGATTTGTTCTGACTCCGTTCATTTGTGAGCGCGTGTACATTAAATCTGTGTAAATGCACCGAGCATGATATCGAATAAAATCGCAGCGAGGAAATACAGTGATGTTTGACAGAAGTGAAATCGAATGCCTCTGAAAACATAACTCAAAATGTATAGGCTTGCTTGTTTGTGTGTCCTTTGGAGTTGTAGATGTTGCGATGAAGCCGCGTGTGTGGATGACTGCAGTTTGTGCACGGCAGAGAATATTACGAAGCTGTTTGACTGTACTGAATATATGCTTTACTGCTCGCAGCAATGAATTCAAAGATTTTATTTCGCCTTCCGTCTTTCTCGCACACTCGCACAGATACGCCAAGAATATTGCATATAGAAACAATGAAGCCGCGTAGCCTGGGGTCTCGTGCTTGCATATTCCTCATCATTCTGGCTTCGTGTTGGTAATTTCACACACTCCCAGTCTGCCTGAAGTGAAAATGAGAAGAAGAAGAGCTGTCAACACATTCTCAGTGTCACATTTATGCTGTTTTGTAATGTACCTGGAAGAACAAAGGCTGCTTAGAAACAGTATTTTATCTTGACACCAAAAAAACAAAAAACAACAGCATGGAATTTATCCTGTTAACTACTAGTACTAAACGTTTACTCCCAACTAATGATGCCATGTTAAAGAAAGTTGGTGTGGTGTAGCTGCATTTTGTTCAAGCAGCAAGTTGACTTCGCCAACATGGCCGATCATCACAGTGGGCTGCCTTGTCTGCATCATGAGCTCTACTGGTTCTTGTGCAGTGGTCACGAGATGATATAAATCTATTTTCAGAAATCATATGAATATGAGTGGCTGCACACTCCGAGTCTGTTGTGATGTCAGTATGAAATATCCAGGGTAAAGTGATTTAACATAACCCTCTTGTTTATGGGTTTTTTTTGCTCCTGTCACATATTTGCACATTTTTCACAACAATAGAACCGTAATAAAATGCCATAAATAAAAAAAAAAAAATAAGAAAGAAAGAAAAGAAAAACAAAAGTTGCCTTTTTTAAATTATTTTTATTAAAATGGAATCAACATTATTTCAAGCATAATGGCTCTACATGCTATTTCACTACTTGCATTTTTAATTTGACTCCATACTGCTTCACTTCACACTACGTCTCCTGTCTGCTCCATGTAAACACAGCCTGCAGTTCATCCCAGTTCAGCCGGAAACTCTCTGAATCTTTGTTATGTTATGTTCCTGTTGGCCACTCAGGCTTTATACTTGCACAAGGAATGTAGTATTCATTGTTTTCTAAGGAATCAGTCATTTTTTAAATGAGATTTTGATGAATTCTTAAGATTTTAAGCTTGGATTCGGTTAACATAATCAAATGTCACACCTGATTGGTTCAGGAAAGTTGAAACTTGATTCTTCAGAGAGTTAATATGCTGCAAAATCTTTTTATGTTTATTTGTGATTTTTGTAGGCTAATAGGGCTCACAGGTAGAGTGCACTCAGAACACTGGGGCCTGTTTAGTTCATACTAAAGTACTAAAGTTCATACTTTAGTTCATTCATACTGTACATATAACTTATACTGTATATATAACTTATCTTATTTTATATTTAAATCTCTTCTATTTTTTATTTTTTTGCTCTTTATTTTGTACTTTATTCTATGTTGCACTGAAGGAGCTGCTCTTAATCTCATTGTACATGTGTATAGTGACAATAAAGGCATTCTATTCTTCTTCTCTATTCATCTACACATAACATATAGATTTTTTATTCCCCTGCAAACAATTGATCGGCTGAAAAATAGGTAGGATTATGTATTTATCTTTCATATAGCTAAAAGTAGTGAAAGCAGGAGTCAAGCTACTACTTTAGAGGACAAGTTCCTTTGCTTCCATGCATACATGTAATTTGTTGTGTAAATCACACACACACCGTCCTGCTGAAATACACAACAAGTGCAAGTGTACTATTTTCTATGGTTTGAGTATTAAGCCATTTAAAAAAAAAAAAAAAAGAAACTCTATATTTGTGAACTGTTGTTAAGGCTTTATGCCCCAGCGTTGAATGTGATTGGGGCTGAACGCCACACACAGGGTCTGGAAAAGGTACTGAGAGAAACTCATTATAGGTTTTGAGCGTTTCATAGAATTTGTTGGCAATAAGAAATATAAAATAACACCAACCTCAGCCGTGAAGTCCTTCACCTCTTTCTAACAGTTGCTTTCTCTCTGTTTACTCTTTATTTCTTATTTGCTCTCCCTCACACTCCTACTGAGTGTTTCTCCATTTCTGCCCCGTCCTCTCCATGTCTGTAACACTCCTCTCTCTCTCTCGGTGAGGTGGCCAGGCGCTGCTTCACAGAGCATGTCAATGGGAAAATGACTGGGGAGAGATGGCTAATGACGCAGCATAGAAATACACAGAAGTTTGTGGAAAAAAATGAAATTGGATACTTCAGAGTGTACACAACTGTAGGATTATATGTGACTCTGTGTGGCAGATAGCATTTGCTGGTTATGTTCTCATATTTCGCCCGTGCTTTTGTGTGCATGTGCCTGCCAGTTCCACTGTATAATATTCTAATCAGTCAGTAGACACGCTTTAGGCTGATCACAATAATGCCTGCGTGGGATCTGTCGAAGCTGTTGTGAAGCATATTGTCAGAGTTAAGAAGAAGATGAGAAACTGTCAGTTTATTAGAAGAATTGAAAATGTAGAAAACATCATTCAAAATTAAATTTAGAATAGTTGTTTTTCTGTCAGGTATAT